GGAGAGATTTCTGGGTTCCAAATCAGGTTCTTGGACAAGAAAAGAAGGGAAAAATCAAGCTCTCTACCGGTTTCCTCAAGGCATGGCTGGGTTTCTTTTTTTTTTTCTTTCGGGTGGCTGCAGCAGGGTCGGGAAGAGCAGAAGCACGCGGGGAAGAAGAAAGAAGAAAAAGGAGAAAATATCAGCCATCCTTATCCAATTCTCCTCTTTTAAGCCCCTGAACTTTCAAAATTTTGGCTATTAAGCCTAAAACAATATTTCCTCTCATAAAAGTCCTTAACTCACACTTGTTTATTCTAGAAATTTTGGGATATCACATCCACCTCTCCTAAAAAGGAGTTTTGTCCCCAAAACTCAAAGTGGGGATCATTTTGAGTGGTGAATGGCTTCACACAATCTAAGATAACAAATGCCCTACTCACTTTCTATGAACAGATATGGCTTACTACGCTTCCGCTGCGCCACTCTGATAACAAACCACAACGAATCCTAAAAGCAGAACATTAATTACTTAACAGGGTTTACCATGAAAACAAGCTACTGGAGGCTGGGGTGACATAGGAAGCACAAGGAATAGAAATAAATCCTGCCAAAGCCACAAAAGAGCAATTGTGGGGTTACGCTACGAACCCAACACAAGACAATTGGCAAGAATGGCATGGATTTAAAGACGAGTACAACAAAACTTTGAACTCTATCAAAGACGGATAAGCATCCGATGGATATATGGATCATGAATGAATGAACAAGTGCATGGATGCCTTATAAATTCTGCCACAAAACAAGGTTAACCAATAAGCAAGGTCATGTTTAACAAAGCAACTGGAATCAAGAAACAGATTTTAGCAATTAACAAGAGTTAAAAGCTAGGACCATCAAAAGACATGTAAGAATCTCAAGAATTGCAACAGAATAAAATCAATGGAAAATATGAATGCTTGGAAGAATACTGGAACATAAGAGTGCAAGGTAGAATGCCTCAAAAATTCAGCAACAAAACAGCATTTACCAAGAATCAAGATCAAATTTAACCAAGCAATCAAAATTGAGAGACAAGAGTTAACCATGAAACAAGCAATAGAATTCAAGGATTAGGCCCACAAAAGAGATTTCAATAATGACAACCAGAACAAGGATTCAACAGCAGATATAATCAGGAGTCAAGATCTAGCACCTCAAGTACTAGAATTAATTAACAGAACAAAACAATGGCTGGGATCAAGATGCTTAGAAGATTCATGTCTTCTAATTAAAAGGGCAAACAAAAATCTAAGCAGTCAAATAAAAGAACCATTTCAGTTGAAACAAAACTCTAGGACATCAAGTGTTTCAAAAACTACCCCTTCACCTAGTAGCCCATGGAGGGTAAGCAGATTTACAATCAAGTCATCCTAGACATCCTAGAGTCAAGTCAAAGCTAACACATCAAGGATACAAAGATTAACACTTGCAAGAGACAAGAATGAGGATGCCTCATATAGGTATTTTGTCACCCCTCTTAAGAGGTGTCCATAAGAACAAAATCAAAAATCAAGAAGATCAATAGGTAGACTGAAACAAGAACTAGCAGAATATGCAAGATCAAGCAAAAGCAGTATACAGAATTCAAACAAGAGCAGTATACAGAATTTGAACAACAGCAAGAGTCAAGAGTCAAGACAAGAATGGTTTTCAAGGACAATTCAAAATAGATTCCAAAAACCAAAATATCAATTGATTTTCAAGAATAGATTTCAAGAACAATATCAGTCGATTTTCAAGAGTAGAATTCCAACAAGAATTAATTTCAAGCAAGGTTTACAAACCGATTCCAAGCACAATGCCAGAAATAGTTTCAAGAAATAGTTTCAGACAAGTATCAAGATAATGAGGATTTCAATAATCATTATCTATTTCCTTTGGATTTTAGTTTCAAGAACAAGCACAAGGCAATCTCAAGAAAGATTCAAGACGGATTTTAGGAGTTTCAAGCAATTTCAGGCATTAAGAATATAGAGATTAGCAACAATAGAGAGTTTAACTTTATGACAACTTGCTAATCTTCACAAAAACATGGCAATTTCAATTGAATTGATCATTGTTTTTGATTAACCAATATAGAAAAATGAGCCACATGAAAGGACCATGAAGCTCCAATTGGAAAAAGTGAAACTTTACTATAAGACTTTCAAAAAGATAATGAGCAGCGGAATTACCAAGTTATCCAGCTCCTAAAACGCATCTAGAAAACACACTACTTTTGCTAAAATAGCCTTGAATCTCTTACAAAGTAGAGCGTTGCCCATCTTCCACTGGTCATGTGACAAACAGAACAAATTTCTCAACCAATTATGCTGTAGAGACCAATAGGATCCATCACAAAAGATCTCTACAACTCCCTAGATTTTACAGTTGTGGCAAAAGAGCATATAAAAATTCTATTCAAGTAACAAGTCTAAACAAGTGCAAACTATTCGAAAGACCAAGTTCCAAAACAAGGTCTTAAGAACATGGCGGTCAAGGTTAATTTCAAGAATCTACAGGTACGAAGGTAGGAAACAAGAACAATCAGATCACCATCTCATCAAAATGGATTAGAAAATTTCAGGCAACATGAATTAAAATCGTCTCTTATATAACCCCATCACTTATCTCACCACGGTTCTAAAATCCACTGGCTAGCCAAGTCCAAAACAAATCCTAGGTATTTAATTAAACCTGGGTATTTTATTAAATCTAAGCTCCGATACCACTCAATCTGCTCTTATGCCACTCAATTTGGAGGTGCTTAATTTAATCATAAACTCTTAATTCAAATCTAAGCTCTTAATTTCAACCTAGCTCTGATACCACTAATTCTGTCATGCCCCAAAACCCGAATTCGAGGCGCGACAAACGTCGTGCACTCGTGAGAGGGTCCCACAAATGCACAAGGCTCGGAACTTATCCAATTCACAATCTGATACCATCAAAATCTGAAGATCAAATTTTAAAATATGCTCTGATATCATAAAATCTTCAAATACACTCGAATTTACAAGATCATGATTTATATCTAAAATCTATATCAATCTCGAAATGGCTA